CGAGGGGAAAGTAATCTCGATAGCACGAGTATCAGGAGGTCACGCCAGACATTCGAAACGTGTTCTCCGCGCGGTAATTAACCGCCACGCAGACGCTACCTGGAAAAACTGATTAAGAAAAACCTTTTGATTAATAAAAAATTGTCGGTCGATCGTACGAGAGTCGCCCTGATTCTCGTTTCGAGGCGCGCGCGCGCGCGCGCGCCAACGAGGTCTCTTTTCTCGACTCGAGACGAGATTAACGTTAACGTCGAGAGGCGTTACGTATCGACATAATGTCCCGGGCGTTTGCTGCGAGATCAGGCGAACTCTCCGACGATCACCGTGCGAAACACCGATCGATCAGTTCGATTAAGTTTAATCCTAGGATCTACTTGACACTAGCATGCGCGAACAAAATAACGCGTCGCCGCCGAAAGGAGAGGATCGGCCGCGACGCTTTTGAAAAATAGGCGAGTTCGTAAAAAGAACGCGAACGAAAAGAAGTAAAAAAGTTGGTAGTAAAGTAACGTAAAACGATTAAGAAACGAGCAAACCAGGGAAGACAGTCGGAAACAGAGTTCAGGTGGCAACGTAACACCGAAGGACAAGTCCGCCGAGAGGAATTTCAGAGGGTACGAGACGGATGGGCAAAACTCTTATCCGAACGTGGTTCGTCGAAGAAAAATAAACATTTCGATCGAGTAAACGTCGCTGATAAATTTCTGTGTCGTTCTCTCATCGACTATCGTTCGAATAAAATTTTGCCACAACTCTGGTACAAAGCATTACGTTTTCGACTTATTTTTGTGCGTTGTATCGCGTCCTGGGATACACGCTGTATGTAGAATTTAGCATTTTTCGAGAATTATGAGATTTCGGTACCCCCTGCACACCCCTCTCAGGGGCCCCGCTAAGGGAGCAGGCGTGGTTGTATGAAAGAAACGACGAAGACACGATATAGATATATGTATGTCGAATGTCGACGCGACGATGGGTGTAACGGGTGTTTGACGTTCATCAGGAACAAGGTACAGTGTTCTTGGTGTATGATTCTCTTGCTACAGGGTTGCTGATACTAAATGCAATCTCTCTAGGAAGACACGTGTGGTTGTTTCGACTGGCGTTCGGATCATGGGAGGACGAGGGTGATTAATTTCTTACTGCTAATTTTCATTTCGAGTTTGAGAAACTACCGCGCGGAACGATCGGAAAAATGGCGAGCTTATGTTCGATGCAGAAGACACAAGGTATCCATGCATCGAAGCTTTCACCTCGTCTCCTTTCACGCGAACGCAGCCACGGGGAAAAGCGTGCAAGGGCTGAAAGGGGGAGCACGGGTGGTTGTCGTGGGAGGATTCGGAGAGGATCGGTGGTCGAATCGCTAGTCGAGACGTCGTTCTGTCCGAAGATGTCGCGTTGCCCTCGCGATTCGAGGAACGCGAACTGGAACGTCGCAGTCTATTTGAACGAACGAAAAAGGGTAAATAGAAATAATAAAAATACACATAGAAAAGGGAGGTGTAAAAGTTCCAAGGCGACTGAAAGGTAGGAAAGTGGCTCGACGCCATTGGCTGTTTTCTTTGCTCCTGGGCTGCGCGGGAAATGTCTCCGGCGAGGCAACGACCATTACGTTTCATCCGGTTTCTATCTTCGAAAGACTTTGTACGGTTCCTCGGAATTTTATGGCTCGATCTTTGATTTCGATTCGAGCCAAGTTGTTCGTCCAAATTAAATTCACCCTTTCGAAAGACGACGAATAAAAAATTCTGTTTCGTAGGATCTCTAAAAAAATGAAGTTCGAGTGTTTGAGGAGCAAAGTGTGACGACGCTGGGGGGTGGTAATCGCGGCGCGAGGACGCCGAAAGAGTAACAGTTTGATCCGACAACGGGGTTGAAAGGATGCCCCTGGCGTTCGAACGTGGGAGGGAGGGGGGGTTTGTGATCGATGCATCGCGGCCTTCCTCTGGTAATCTCAGGGAAACCCGGTGCGTTCGATCGATCCGGACACGTTTTCCCCGGGAGAGAGAAACGCACACCGCGGAAAGACAGAGTCGACGTTGGCTCTCGGGACCGACAGTGGAAAACAATCGACCGGCTACCCTGGCCTGTTCGCGGTGGAAGATTAACCGTGTTTCGCCCGGATTACCCGTACATCCGTCAACGCCTGATCCGTGGATTGTTCATAGAGGAACGTATTGTCGTTGGTCGGGCATCGATCGCAGGGAATACGAGCGTCCCCTGCACCTAATTCGGGGGTTTTCCCCAGCCGACCCGACCGATCGGCCCACCGAGAGCTTCACGAAACTCGAGAAAGAGGATCGCGTTTCGTAATTGGTTTTCGATGAGTTCGATCGACGCGCCAACTCGATTACCGCAACTTCCGCCCGGCAGAAACAACTTTTCCAGACGCCTTTTACTTTCGCGACGCGCGAACAAAACGCGCCTTAACCCCTTCACGATCGTCCAAGTCTGATTTTAAAAACGATGTTTGTTTTCCATCAAATTATACGTTCGATGCAACAAAAACTTGGAAACATCTTTCTTGGTTGACCCGACAAATTTTAGCGTTGGGGGGGGGGTTAAACATTTTCCACGAGAGTGAATTCGACATCTACGTTGCAATATTATTTGTTCTTACGATATTGTTATACAAGTGGAAACTAAATTTTAGAAGATCTATCTACGAGAAGAGTGTACGAAAATTAAACAAGAAATTCTAAATACATGTGCAATGTTTGAACCGACTAAAATTAATACTTATCAAATTTCTACGACCATGCATTATCCAAATTATCCTTTCGTAATTACTGGTGGAGGGGGATGCTTTCTACCGAGTTTTAGTTGAAACGCGCTTCGCTCGCATGAAATATTCACGAAGCACCTCCTCCCCGATTTTGATGAAGCTTTGCAAGTTCGCAGCCCGGTCATAAATAAAGGATGTGTACATTTTTCTAACCGCGACGGTTAAAAATTTAGAGTACTCTCCAACTGTCCACCTCTCGAGAAGAATGTTTTCCAATTAAATTCGATATTCGAAAGACCAATCGTTGCTCTACTCGCTGGACGCGATCAGACGGGCGGCTAGAGTCGCGATTTTCGCCCGTAAATCCGGAAATGGGTGTCGGTGCGCCATTTTATGCGGACGTCGTGCGACGCTACGTTGGCCAAGCTGTTTAGAGTCGCGGTATCCTCGAACGGGGTCGTAAAACGCGCGGATAAAACAAACTGTTCTCGAGAAACTGCTGGGCCACGGTTACTTAAAGCCCTGCTTGAAAGCTGTAACTCTCGAGAACCTTTTTAATCTAAATGGAAAAGTAGTAACGCGCCACCGGAGAGAGACCTCGGGCCAATTAAAAAGCACTGTTTAGTTTCGAGAATAAAAAGTTTACGCTTGCTGGCGATATATTCCAAATACTGTCATTCTTGGAACCGAGAGAAACGTGAGAAAATTTTGAATGAATTATTCGATCGGTCTCGCCTCGAATTCTCGATGGGATACGCGAAGATCTATCCTCCGATGGTTGCGTGAAATCGTCACGACGCAGAGACGCTATTTGCCCGAGGTTCTATGGCGTTGGTGTATCAGTTGGTCGATCTGGTCGCCACTGACAGAGCCGTCGGTCAATGGGCAGCGAAAACCAGGCGGGGATCGGAGGCGCGAAACGAGGAGAGGAGATGGCGTTTTTGACGAGGGTGACTGGTGAGCGATCGTGTTAAACGCAGCGTGTCAGTAGATACGAGGGGGCGGGGGTAGGGTGGCGGTGGTAAACCAGGCGTTAAAAAGAAAAAAAACAGGCGGTCGAACGAAACAGAACGTTGTAACACAAAGGGGCAAAACCAAGTAAAAGAACACAAAACGAAAGACAGAAAAAGAGAACACCCGTTAAGGAGAGCGTGTTCTCCGATTAATCGTGATCTCAATTCAAAGACTCAACGGTTACAGAGCACGCGCAAAAAGGAACAAGAAGTAGATGAACAAGTAGACACTGTATATACACAGGGTGTCCCGCTCGAGCCATTCAATCGTCCTCTATAGTTGCAACGACGCGAAACGACGCCCCAAAGGGGTGAATACGATCGAATTTTCTTTTCCCTTTCCAACGCGAACAACCAGGTTTCTTTCGTTTCGCGAGCTGCTAGCGCGATATGACGTTAAAACGGCGTTGAAAAATTAGAAATAAAATCGAGTTCGACGAGGGAACGACACGACCGCCACGTTTCTCAGATTTTGGACTGGAAGATTTACCAGAAAACACGAAAGAGTTTGTATCGGGGGAGCCCGAAGAATTTATTTCAGAAATCGACAGAGGAATATTAATATTTCTAGGGACTATCGGTTGAAGAATTTCCCTGGAAAATCGTTTTTAAAATTCTTCCAAGGCGAGACAGTTCGTATCGTGGCAACGCAGAGTGTAAATCGGGCCTGTTTCGAGTCGGACACCTCGCGTACACGTATACACGGAGTCATGTAAGTAGTTATACAGGAACAAAGAGACAAAACAAGTGAGAAAACTATGGCCTGCGCGGAACGCTCGTCGCGAGGCCGTTCTGCTGGCGTCGGCTCGTTACTTTGCTTTTCTACCTCCCCGTCTGGTTCTCGTAACTCCCATCGAGGATCGTTCGAGCGACTCTTCTCTATCTTACGAAATCGAGATTCGAAACGGGCCGCGAAGGTGCGAATCGTTGCTCGTCGATCGATGGCGTTTCGCGAACGACATCGAAGATCGACGAACGAAGGATAATTGTACAGCAGAACGGACCACGTGGACGTGTTCGCGCGCGCACGAGAAAGAAAACACAGAAAAACACGATTCAAAAGTTACTTTCGTACGTATATGTATACATGCACTGCGTCATATATGTATACATATAGCAGGCGCGACGCGAGCGCAGAGAGGCACCCGCGTCGATCACTATGCGGATTTAAAACTCTGATGGGTTACTTGTGGCTTTGTTCAAAATAAAAAAAAAAAGAAATTCTTGCGTCAAGTAAGTCGTCGGCTCTCTCGGGGACTTACCATTCTTTTTTTGGACAACGACTTTGGCTGCGACTTTACGGGGAGTTGCGTATGCCGAACAACGGAGTTTTGAGTGGTAGTAGTAGTAGTAGTAGTAGTAGTAGAAGTAGTAGTAGTAGAAGTAGTAGAGGTAGTAGTAGCATAGTGTCGTGCCGAGATAGGAGGAGTCCAAGGCCAGTGTGATTGATACAAATATAATAGAGAAGGAGTACGATAAAAGACAGTCAGTGCAACTTCCGTGGGCTTGAGGGGGGTGGGTTTCTTTTTTTTTTAAGGGCGGGTACCTAGTTGGGGGGGCTGAGGGGTGCTATGGTTCCGCGGCGATTCGCGAAATCAACGATCAGGGCCGAAATGGAGAATGGATCTATCGTTTCTTTCGCGACTCGCGTGACACCCTGGGCTTCTTTGGAGGCATTTTGGGGGTTGGTTTCTGGACCGTTTCCACGGACCCACGGGGGTGGTTGCTTCCCCAACGATTGGTCCTTTCGATATTTTTTCACTTCTTTGAATTGTCTTCTTCTCTGTTGCCTGATGTTTAACCCCGAGACGTTAACGTAAGCAAATCGAGCAATATATGTAGATCCAAATTCGGTTTCACTTTCACAAAGTTTGATGTGACGTTTTTGTAAGACCATCCCAGCGAGGGTCGAGGAAACGTTCGTCGCGCGCTGAAACGGATCCGTGAGCGTGTATCGAGGGTAAAGGGTCGCTACACCGAAGAAACGGAATAAAAAAGTACGGTGCAGAAGAGTACAAGTGGGCCAAGTGGGCTTGGGATGGACGTGACACGAGAGAAAGTAAAATTGACTTCGGAAACTCGGACAATGGTACACACACACGCACGCACAACACACACAGTCGAGCGGAATAAATCGGAGAAACGAAAGTAAATACAGAGAAAATATTCTGAAATAACACCGAGAAGTAATGTTGCGACCGGTCTGACGTCGAGTCGCGTGGAATCGACGTCGGGCCGATCGTTGCATGCGTGATTCACGTGTCCGCGGCATCCAAGATGGCGTCGAAGGCGTTTTTGCTCTGTATCTTATATTCGTTCGCGTCGATCGAGCCAGAATAGAATCGGGTCTTTCGTGTTTTCGAACGCCTAGGCACTTGGGAATACTGGGCGCCATCTTGACGCGCGCCGAACGAAGGTGAAAAAATATATCTTCTATGTATGTACTATGATCGCAACGATGCAGAAAATGAGTCTACCGGTGACAACGTCAAGAATTCAGGCAGTGTGCCATCCAAGTACGAAAAGTATACGTATATTTATATATACATATGTATATATATATATATATATATATATATAAATATATGTGTTATAAATATATAGATTCAGTCGAGGAGAGGAAATAAAGATATAAATGTAGAAGGGATGAAATAAAGAGCTAGAATAAGACACAGAGACAGAGAGGAAATAAAGAAAAAAATTAGAAAAGATCCGCTCGTACCTCGATGCGAGTACGAAACACGAAAACATGGACGGAAGACAGTGAGAATGTGAGAGAAATGGAAAAACGCGCCGTGTGATTCGATCGTGTGTGACAAAGAAAAGAGTATGATTTAGGGTGTAAATTATTATCTATATTTTGTTGTTTTTTCGTTCCCCGCTCGAGATTTGGGAAAATGATCGTACGGAGAGAAACGAACGAAAGAGGTGAGTAAAAGAAATCGTTCAATACAAGAGAGAAACTCGACACACTGACACTATCTATGAAACAGCTTAAAGAAAAATAGAAATCAATGATAATCAATGAAGCTCTTAATAATGTGACGATTAGAAGAGTCGAGTGGCGCTTCTTACCATCTGTCCGTGCAGCGGGTGAAAATGGAAACAGAAATAGAATTCAAAATCTTCCTGCGATGGTCGAGACATTTCGGGACTTTTTGGGACGCTTTTTTTTTCTCTTTTTCAATGTTTAATTCCCGGGGTCGAGGGGTCGGCGGGGCTTTGGAGTCTCGTCGAACGTGCGTACGCGGGATTCCGTCGATTTTTTTCCCCCGCAATTTCCCGAGAAAGGGGTGAAAATTTTGAAAGAGGCGCGCGAATGGTGAACGACTCGAGAGAAATTTAGGATATTCGCGGGTCGAGGCGTGGCTGCAAAGCTGACGCGAGTTTAATTCAACGATAAATTAATTATTATCGCGTCGAGCGTTACGAGGAACAAAACGAGAGCACGTTTTTGCGAAATTTCGGCTCGTAGAATAGTTTTGTCTCGCGAGATTTCTGAGTCGAAGCTAGAAATGTCCGGCGGACGATCGCCTGTTTCGTAAATTTCTTACGGAAGAATTTAAATTCGAATTCCTCGATACGACTTTCTATCCGAGAATCGAGTTCAGCCGGTCGATGATCTTCGTTCGAGCGCCCCGTGTAATTTGTTTGCTTGTCAGACAACCCGACGCCGCGGAACGTAATTTAATTTCCAAAGGGGAAAAGAACGTTCCTCGCGGCGACGAAACAAAACAGAGATCGGAAACGAAACGAAAATGTTTACGGAATGGACGCAAGCCCGATTCGTCGTACGGATCTTTGCAGCCACGCGATCGATCTTCCCTTTTCGAGCGAACGCGACGATTCAAAAACTCCCTGGCACGCGATTAATGTACGTTTCCGGGTCGTTAAATTGGCCGTGAGTTTCTTTTTGGACGGAGAATCGAATCCTCGCGTTCGCGTACAACGTGAGTCGATTAATTCGTCTTAAACTAAATATGTAACACCTGGGGAACGGTTGCTGTATCTTGCCGATCTTTTGCGGGCGAAAACAAATTTCAGGAACGAGGAGACTCTTCGATGGTGACTTGTTGTATCAAAGATATAGGGAAACTAAAGTTAGAATATGTTCGAAACCATTTAATTTTGATCACAACTGCTGGCTAAATAAATTTCTCTTAGACGGGTTTCTGGAATTTATTTTCGTTGAGAAACGATCAACGAGAAAGAAATGGCTTTCCCTGGGCGTTACATATGGCCTCTCTTAAATCGTGTCTAGAGCAGGTTCGACATCGCCGAGGAAAATAAGTATCAAAGGCTAAGACACGTGTGAAAAATAAAGGCTGACGATTTCGTTGGTCTCCATCTCTATATTGTAACGTTCTGACCCGTACACTTTGTGAAAAGTTATAATAACGAGCTCGATTAAACTAGAAATGTGGAAGTACCGGTTCAAAAATTTTTACCGTACTGCCTATCGCGAATAAAAATAATGATTATCGACGAGAGCTTGGCAACAAAATTCAAAAAGCATCGATGAAATACTCGGACGCAAGCATCAAAGGTACACAGAAAAAGAACACTCTGATCACGATGTAAGAGGGACCAGTCGATTTGGAGGGGTTGAAAAAAAAAAAAATTAAAGAAAGAAAGTAGAATCTCTGCAAGAAATTTGATCGTATTATAGAAGAACGACGAGAGTGAAGTAACAGTGGACATTACCTTCTTCGAGCCCGTCGTCGCCGTCGCTCATAAGCTCGTCGTCCGAGCAAATGTTCAGCACGTTCACCAGCATCTCCGTGACTGCAACACGAAATCAAAAATATGACTGTACACTCGTTCTTTACTGAAATTCACCCCTGAGCGGGCTCTCAAATTCGACAGAATTATTAAATGGTAAATGGGAATCAACTGGGTTAAGAAAAAGTCAAAGTAGACGTTGCTGCACAATCTTTAACTTGCACGATTGTTATTTAATTTAAATTGCGTTATTGATACGTTAGAATATTACTGAATACTGTAATCGATGATCAGGATGTTAAGTAGCTCACCTTTTTCACCTACAAACGGGAGAGACCACGTGAAAACGTCCATGAAGTTGGGTAGCCAGTAAGGATGTGGCGAACAGTTGAACTGCCTGATGTTCATCACGTTGTTTTCGTACTTCAGCACGGCTGCCTGCGATCAGAATCAAATATCCTCATAATCATAAGTGAACGAGAAATCCAGGGACCCGCTATTTCTCCGCTATTATGTTTGCAAAGAATAAATGAAATTTGTTAGACCTTTGCTCACCTTGTTATTATAAACGTCGAGATAGTTGGGCGCGCTGAAGATGGTAATTAGCGATGGGAAGCCCGTCACCTGGGATTTCCGGTACATACGATACCCTGCATCCTGCGCCTCGTGTGCCCTTATGATGCTGAGAAGGTTGTTGTTCTGCAGAAAGTCGCAGCACGCCGCGTAACTGCGAAAACAACCGACGGGGCTCGATTAGTTTTCGCGTACGCGTTGCTACGTATTCCGCGAACAACGCTCGGAATCCTCTCGAATCGAGTGGCTTCCGTTGTTGCGTTTCTTCCCGGGTAACGCTCGAATTAATTTAAATTCAACGTAATGCCAGGCCACGTTCGTTCGCCCTTAAATTGAACAGATGGCGACGAAACTTTTTGGTTGATCCGAAAGTTTCGCGTTTTGGGGGCCTCCTTAATTAAAACTTCGAGTTTGAATTATAATAATTGATATTTTCATATGAAATTTTTACAAAAAGTAGTTCGAGAAACGTACTTTCGAAAACATGAAATATTTGTCAGAAAAAGTTTCACAGTTACGTCGAAAAAAATTCTTGAAAATTGCTTTTATTTTCGTCACGGTGGTTTCCCTTAAGTTCGAGGATCCCTGAGTTGCTTGGAAGCCAACGATAGGGGATGCTTTCTGTCGAAACGTCGCGAAGGACAGCGAGAAATTACGGAGTCGAATGGCAAAGTGCAGTCGCGAAATGGCGAGACACGCTCGTAACGTTCAAGAGATCTTTTGCCAATGCGCCCGCTGGCCTAGTAGCAATTCCGTAATGGTCGCTAAGCTATAAAGAAAATGTTCGGGACGCCTTGCCGCCCTTCTTTCATCCACCGTCCCGAAAGACGGACTCGTAAAACCCTCAGCGAGAACTGTCTACCCCTGGTACGGCTCTCGAAACCTTTTTTATTACTTCCTCGTAAACGCAGTGACCTCCATTCCGAAACCAGGGGTTGCGGGCAACCCCGATGGGAGCGTTTCAACGTTCAAGGGTCTCGTATCGATTCTTACGTTTTAACGCCCGTTCTGGCAATCGAACGTCCACGTGCTCAAAAATATTAACACCTTCCTACTTAAGGGGGACCTTAAATTGTAAACCGCCAAACAATTCGAATTTTTAGACAAACAGAACCGGCTGATCAAGATGCAAGAAGTTGCATAGTTTTTTTATAAAAAAAAATAACAAAGTTTTAAAATTACTTTCCTTCGACGTTTCGATTTGAGAATTGAAAGTCCTGGCAATAAAAGTTTACGAACAAAGCGTTTGTGAATTAATAGATCGACCACTGTTTTATAACAGAAAGATTCGTTTGCCTGTCGCCCCGCTGCTCGAAAATTAACAAAGGAGCTCGCATCGATAAATCCGCGTTCCCGTCGTTGGTACAAACGACAAAATGTTTTACTCGCAACATTCCATATTTGCGTGAATTGATTTGTCCCGTTGAATATGCGTCCCTGTCACGGCACATCAGCCCGGCCATTAACGTTTCGCGTCACTGGGAAACAGAGAAACATTTTATTCGAACAATATATAACCAAGAAGACCAACGAGCAGCAATTTGTTCGTGACGTTTATTCGATGGGACGATTAAACATCCAATAGAAAACATTTTCGTTCCTTTTTGCTCGACGCGTCCGGCGAAACTAAATGAAAAGACGCGCGGGATTAATCAGCTATTAACGCTGGGATTTACAGAACGCGTCAAGTTGATTAATTTTTAGCTATATCGAGTTTTGTCGACGCAGCGATAGGAAATCCTAATTAGCGTTAAAATAAATATTAAATATATTACGGAATAATAACTGCGTTGGGGTTCGTTAGAGTTGAACAGAAAGTAAATATATTTGTTTGGAACGGGTCAAATTTGATCACTGTATATTCTTAAAAATTTGCTTGTACTTCGCTTGTAATTTGTAGAAGAATAGTGCATGCTACTTTTGCGATGAATTTTTCGCTTTCACGTAGTAATAAGGTTGTAGGAATGGAATGGCGCCAGGACTTTCGGGCCGCCCTGTTTCGGGGGTTTACGAAATCCGACGTGAAACGCGAGAGGCTTTGTCGGGGAAGATAGCTCGCTTGCTTTCGATTCCACGCAACAGAAGCTATCTGTCGGCCGTCAAATTCAATACGGAGCAATCGCGCCGCGGGAAAATATTGCGCGCGTTTTATCGCGTCGTCCCGACACGATGATTTATCGTTCGCTCGGTATACACTGGAAACGCATTTAATTTTAGCTGAAAGCAGCCTCAAGACGCCGTCGAGATACACGGCGAATTTTAACGGGAAAATTATTGCCTCCTCCCCCTGAACGCAAAACGCGGGACAAATTTATGTTGTTGCGCGCGATAGATAGATCTTCGACATCGACAATTGAAATATAGATTAATTTATTAGAGGATTCGGAAGCTGTCCACTGGTGATTTCCCAGGACAATAAACACAAATTTCTACGTTTTAAAATGTAAACACGAAAGGGTGTTGCATAGAAAAAGTGGTTAAAATTATAACCTACGATCCAAACGATTAAAAAGGGCGTAAAAAAATTGTTTCGAGCGATTCACACCACGGTGTTTCCAGTAAAGCTGTTTCCAGGAGGTTTTTTCCTCCCCTGAATCGGTGGTTTGGCCCGTGGTGCGTCGGTGGAAAAAGATAACGTTGAACGTACGTGAAATTTGTTGGAAGGTTGGCCGGAAGCCCGTTGCAAGGGAGGCTTAAAACGCTCTCGAGAATTTTGCTCGCGTTGCCGCACGCGAGGTTGCACGCGAAAACTCGTGATAACTCTCTCGTGGAGTAATTTTATCCGGGCGATCGAACGCGATAACAGAAGTACGGGCCGAGCATTTAGAAATTATAATGCGACCGATAAATCATCGTCATCCGACCGCGGGTCGTCTCGCCGGAATCGATTCCGACCGAGGAACCTGCAAACGCGGACAGATCAATTCTCTTTTACATTAATTATCCCAATTACTCTCTGGAAAACACTCCACAGAGTCAGCTAACAATTGCACCTCGAAACTAGGGACTATCCTCACCGGAGGAGTTACAATTTTCATAGATTCCTTCGTGGATGAGCGTTTTGGAGAGAATGGAAAATTATTTTACCGCGTCGAACGGCGCGAAAGAGCCTCGATGTTTGAATGATAAATGGAACGAGGAACGGAAACGCAAACGCGGGATAAATTTTCGTAATCGACGCGTAAAGAGCCCCCGTTTGCAAATTAAAATCCGTTAATGGATATCCGGGCTAAGCTACGGGTGAAAATTTTAATTATTCGCGAATAAAACACGACTTTGCCTCCGATTTCCGGATTCGCATTTTTCCGTTGATTGCCGTTCGATTGCTTTTTTTTTACGGTGGTCGTTTCCAAGGTGCTGGCTCGAAGGTTGTCGCGACGCCGGGCGTCTAGGGCGTCGATGTCGAGTTCGTGTAAACAAATTAAGCAGCAGACGTCAGACGACCGACCTTTTTCGCGCGCCTATAACTGACCTGGCCAAGGACCGTGAGAAACGCTCGCGCGCAGGTAAAGGCAAGGTCGAACGCGACCATTAGGCGCCGTTCACACCGGGACGATGATTAATGCGGCTGCTCGAGACCCGCCATGTTGCTGATACAATGAAGCCTTTGGAGACTACGCGATACTGACCAGCCTGCCATAGCCACGATAGTGATTGATGCCACGTTTATGTCAGCGAGGGAAACATTTTTAGGTGCGCGCATAAATTCGACTCGATTTACTGCCAACTCCTCGTTTCTCACGCCTGGGAATTTACGTCGTATAAATATCTTCGAGCGCGCGATAATTCCATTTCCTAGCGTAGACACTTTGCATTCCAACTTTTGGGAATGGGTTGAAATTCTTTTTATTACGGTATACCTAGTCTAAATATCACTAGATATATAATTTCTTTTATCGAATAGTTACTTATATCAATATTTGTGGACGGAACTTATTTATTTAGGAGCCTGAGAAATAATATTTTCCAACCGTACGTCCACTGGAGTTTGCTGTTCTGAACGCGTGACAATTAGGTGTAAATAATAGACAGGTACGGTCTGCGCGACAAGTTCACCGTGCAGTCAACGTCCCAAGATAAATAAACAATTGGTTCGTGTATATAGCCGGTGGTTAGTACGAACCTGACCGTAGCCTTGCGTTAATTAACAATAAACGGATGCCTAGATCAAGGCGACGCCAGGTTTCAGTAGTACGGGTCAGCGCATGGCCGGACGAAATTGATTCGCTAACGAAGAATAATTTCGAACGAATTTAGGCAAAACGCAATCTCTCTCTTCATTAGCCCGGCTAATTATCCACGGAATCATATTGGATTACGGAATCGTTCCCCGTAAACAACGTTAATTAGCGACCACGTAATTGTTGGATTTTTTAGTAGTCGAGCAAACCCGTGCTTCGTACTACTGTGTGTCCCTCGTTCTGACATTTTTCTATCGAACGAAGGCTTTCGGAAACGATGTAAAATTCGTAATCGCGATCAAACGATCTCTACTTTCTTCCAGTGGCTGAATAATCACGTACCGATTCGATAACGAATACACGAGAGGCAAAACTAATAAATTAGAGGTGATTTTTCCCCAATTTCTTTAACGAACATTCGATTTGGAAAAAAAGCGTTTCGCAGGGATATCGATTCGAGCCGAAAGAAAGAAACCGTTCGCCCCGAAGTGCCATTTATTCCGTTCAAACGAATGTAGTAAACGCGAAAAGCATTCTCCTTTCGCCGTTTTCCAGCATATTTTCGCGATTCATTTTCGACAGCGCGCCAGCCACGGGATCGTTCGTTTATTTTCCAACAAATCACGGGCGCGCGGATTTTTTCCCATTTTCGCGTCCGTCGAGGCGTTTATCGCGTTCATCCAACTAATATTTTCAGCACCTGGGATCGTCTATTTCTCCCGATAACGGGCTGAATTTCATATCGCGAGCCCGTTCGATCCCAACGACGGGACCTCCCCTCGTCCGGAGAGACAAAATAACGTAGCGTTAAAAAAATATTAGCCAAATTGGCGAGATTGCAGGGGCGTGGCTGTTCCTAATCAACGCCAAAAGGCGCAGGGATCCTCTTTGTTCTCGATGGGGACGAGGGGGGGAAAAAAAATATTTTCGTCTCTCCGCGAGATATTTCACCCCCTCGCGTTTCCGTTTCACTTTCAGCTGCACCCTGCGTCCTTTTCCCTCTCGCTCGTTACCCCATTCAACGAGTAATTACCCGGTCGTTTGTCCCGCCGAACGCTCGAACGCGAAAACCAAACGAGCCAACTTCGGGACAAATTTCGCCGGAAGTGCGCCCTCCGTTCGCGTCCCCGCCGGCTAACACTCCACCCTTTCCTTTCCGCCATCCGGCAAAATTTTAATAACAATCCTCGCGGAGGCTTTGAACCGTCCCTCTTCGCGAGACACTTTCGAACGACCTCGATAAAAGTTTCACGATCTTTTTTCCCGTTTGGAAATTCATCCCACGAAAGGACTCGATTCTACGGACTGTGAAGGGACTTTTGAACCTTCTCTGATCAAACGTTCCAAAGCAACAAGGTTTATGGTGCTTGGGGACTTTATAAAATGAATATTGAAAGCTTGGTAACCACTGTCTCGTGTCGTACATGATGATATACACTTATAATTTTGTGTAATAATATTCGTAACATTCTCAACTTGATGCCTCGACTAAACAGGTTGGATCTGCAGGACTGAAGATACGGGGAGGGTGTTTCTCACCTGTAAAAGTAGGAACAACCCCTGACGCTATTGTGGGAGAAGTGCTCGGCGTTCTTCTCGTTCCCGAAGTCCTCCAGAGGATCCGACCACAGAAGATCGCACATGGGCCCGAACGCAGGTGGCTCTTTGAACCTGTCCAGCTGCAACAACAAGATTAACATCGAATTTTAAATATAATAAATATATCCAGAAAACCCGGAATTAATCGCTCTTTAATAGCCCGCAAAAAGAAGACACAAAGAAACATGTATTTTTCTTGCCTACAAAGTAGAGTGGCCCCGTAAGTAGTGAGTTTTCCTGAAAGGTTTGAAACCGTTGGTCGTTGGAGGGAGGTTTTTTTCCTCCGATTATGGAACCAGGCAACCAAGCTACTTATTTACTCGAAAGACACACAAGCCAGATTCGCTGGCAGAGTGGTGTCTCCGCGGCATAAAGCACTTGCGAACTCTGTCCTAGATTTGTTTCCCGTGCTCTGTCGAACCGCTCGACGGAATTAAAGGAAAATCAGAGGAGCCTCGGGATGAAACTTCCATCCCGGGGTTTACAGCGTGCCAGGAAAACGACGCAAAGGCGCGTCCCGACAGAGAAACTTTTAAATATTTGAGCCGCCTAGCTCGATCGGGGCGGTTCAATTTCGCAGTGTTCGACGAGCAGTTCGGAACTACAGCCCTCCAAGAAATTCATTTTAGATACCCCCCACCTCACGCTCTACGGGGCAGCGAGACTTGGGGATCGATCGGATTTCGTTGCAACAATTTACATAAAATCGAGCTTCGCATCTTTCGAATAATCGAAGTACAAAACATTGCGATTACATTTCCCGAAAACGATTTGTAATTTGTTCGCGGTTGGCTCGTAGCCCAGAAGAGAGCTAATCAGCCTGTTTGCGCGTGCCATCGGCTGCTTTGTTCTACGAGATCAACATTTGCAATTTAGAAGAGACCCGACTAGGGAAATTAGAGCGAGAGAATCGTCTATATTATGATACAGAGTCACCGAAGTCGAAGCTTCCCCGTTCGTTCTCGCGTCGATTGCTTCTCAGCCGACACGGAAACGGCTTCGATAATCGACCCGTAATCCGCTAAGATTGACGCGAGAGCGAGAAAAAATATACCGAGTGTCCCGACGCGACCGGGGAAAAGATAAATCGTTTTCGATGCACTCGAAAACTGTCGATCAAGTATCGATAATCAGATTTAAGGCATAAGTACCTACTTCTAATTAAAATCGTGTTTAAAGAAAGGATGTAATTTCATTGTTTTTTTTTTTTTTTTTTTTAAATCATTTTAGAGTCGTTTTCCCAGTCGAGGAGAACACCTTGTACGTTTCGAGGGGGAAACGTTTCCAATAATTATCTCTGGCGTAATTACCCAACTGTGACGGGCTGACTTAACATTGACGTATTGGCGTTGTCTCTGTTCGTCGCGGTACAGAGAGCCCCGTGGACTGCAAGTTTTGATCACAACGGGGCAACGCTAATTATGTTGAATGGCATTAGTTCACCGACACACGGTACACGGAGTACCGCCTCCTAAACAGCCAGAACAGGGAATGCAGTTTACACTGTAACGAGCAGTTTGCACCTAATAACGCCAGACGTAATATCATCGGCATTATTGCCTCGGCCAAAGTGGCCGCGTCGTTTTCCCCACCGAATCCATGCGAAATTCGAAACGCCCGAACCCCGTTGCTTCTAATCCACTGATTTTCGCGAGCCGTTGAAAATTATCCTTCGAAGACCATTATTGACGGAGACAATTCTTTTATTATCCAAACACTGTTATTTGTATCAGAAAAATTGTGCACGAGAAGGTTGTTAAGGGATGCTCTTTAAACATTCGGGGAAAGTCGCGAGCAAAAGCTGTCTCGCGAACGAAACTGAAATTTTTATTCGCTATTCATGAATGAAATTTCCTCGAGCCTGTTAGGAACTTTCCCGCCATCTATCTGGCAATTTTTCGTAACGGGAATTGAATTTAATATAAAGTACTTCGTCCCCGAGTCGACGAGAAATTTTTGAGCAAATGTGGTTGCGATATGGGGGAAAAGCTTCTTTACAAACTGCGTCGCACGGAGGGGAAAAAGCTACAATTCGCGTGGGATGAAAAGTTCTGACACGCTCGCGAGAGGGCAAATAAGCCGGGGAAGGTTACCGCGAGAAGTTTTAACACGTTCACTGTCGTTCGAATTCGAGAAAATCGAAATTAGGAATCCCAATATTTATATTAAAACACGCTTGGTTGGGTCCACGTATATACTGTAATATTTATTCAATCAGAAAATTTCTTAGAAGTGGGAAAGAGGTGTGCTAGTCGACGTGTTATCAAAATTTCTGGACAAGTCTGACTAAAATCGATGTATTGTCTATTTAAAACTTCAATAGATTTATCAAGTACATAGTATATTTATTATCAAACTATTGAGATGAATTATCGTGGATGAAATTCAACGATTTAATAATAATAAATTTCCTATAACCTTCGAACATGCGTTATTAAAAATAAATATCTAAAAATTGCTCGTTCGATAAAGATCCTCGCGTCACTGATACTATCTACAACTTTCTACTCTGTATAAGAAATGCTAACAATGTAAATCGATTGATACCAGAGAACGTCTGACTACAGACTGCCTACTACTACTACTGATATTTATCACCCTATCGCTTGCAACTCTTTTCTAATTTTCCTATAATCTTCGACGTTGTATCCCTGGCAATAAATTTACCGGGAAATTATTTATTACTCGAGTCGACAACGTTAGAAAAGATCACGAAGGATAGACTCGTTGCTCGCGAGCAGCATGTGTCGCACCTTTTACGTTCTTATCATTTTACTGCGACGCATTTAACGGGCATATTAATTGCTCGTTAACTGTGCTCGTTACGCTGTAAACGATTGCTGCACAATCTCCAGCACAAAGAAACACGTATGTATGGCGCACCATGCGCGCTGATATCGTTGTGCTTAATTAACTTCGCTGATTGCGACGGAGAATCGAGTTTCGCCTCTGGATTCGAATTAAATCTTGCGAACCAGCCCCTGCAGGATTCAACGTAGACGCGGGTTCGTTCGACAGAGGGATCAAAAATATTTTTTCTAATTCATTTTCTCGAACGAGTATCACGTAAAATACATTTTTACTCGGCAAATTCTAACGAAAGGGGGAAACACGAGATTTTAATCGGACACGATTCGAATTCCGTGGACAATTCTAGTTAAAATGAATAAATGATATGTATTCTTGTTCTGTTTCTCAAAAGTTTACACCGAGTCTGAGCTCCGGATCCAACGTTATTAAAGAGAGATGGAGTATGCAAATTCCAGGACGAATAATTTTGTTATTATCATATCGATTCGCGAATACACGGCACAAGGGGCAAAATATTTAATGCTCGGTACTGGGGCAACAATAGTAACGAGAAGATTAAAAGTAACTCTCGATGGAATTAACAAGACGAAGAATTCTTTTCCACACGGGCTCGGACCACCCCTTTGTTCGTCTAATAATACAGCTCTATGCATAAACGAACGTTCCTCGCCGTCTAACAAACGCGGCCGTCCCGCTTACGGTTAATTTCCTTTCAACCGGCGGAAGTTCTCCCATTAAATAATACTTGGAGTCAGTCGAGCAGGATATTCCCTCTTCCAATCCGACCAGGGTTTTGCGTCTCCGCGAATTAAATTATTACGAGCACGGCTTTCGCACTGGACATTCGCGTCTCCTGAATATTTCAACTCCAATTCGCGTTAAAACAGAAATTTCGTGTGTACGTCGCTTTCGAAACTAGCGAGCCCAGGATCAGAGGCAACGCGTTAAAAACAACGAAATACAAATAAATGTAAAACAACAGAATTTCACTGGTATAAAGATCCCTGGACATTAGGATATTCTGTTTTATTTTTAACGAGTCCTTGATCTGGAAATTACGCCTGGTCGTATTTATCGGTTGATAAATGAAGGTTTTAAAATACGCAATAGCTTCCGGGGTAACGGGCTTAATAAAACAGAGAAATGCACGAGAGCCCAGGGATTCAGCAAATTGACTTAATTCAGACCCATCGTCCGTACTTGTTATGCTGATTCGTTGAGCTAATTAGACCGCTTAATTTTCGCGAGCTGCTCGAAGCACCGTGGTTGGCTCCTGGGCGAGGCTTGGCCGGGAATTTCGGCCGTATCAACGTGTTAGACGCGTTTAACCATGGTTGGGATTGCTTCAATTACGTTCGAACAGTTTTCCCTCACGACCTTGCTTTCACAGATTTTCCAAGACATCGAGAACTCGACGAAGACGAAACGCGTGATTGAAGCAATAAGAGTCGTTAATAGTTAAATCGTCGAGATCTATCCGATACTAGAAAATATACAGAGCTGTTTTTTAAACCTTTCTCGAATCCCTATTCCGCTCGAGACATTTTCCAGCCAAACAAAGGGGAAGATCTACCAGTCTCGAGGAAAAATTGCTGGAGATCATCGTCTGCTCTTTTCACGAAGTCGAATAAGGAAAAATAGAGCGCAGTGTGTCAGTTTTCGAAGGTCGACAGGGGAGGGTGGAGGGGGAGGAAGGAAAGGGCTGTTGTATCCCCTTGGCTCGCCATTTGCTATTCATATCGGTTGCTCGCGGTCGCAAAACCCGTCTTTTACATACGAGCAGGCGGAATAATACATAACAGAGGGCGAGGGTACGTATCTATGGGGCTCTGATAAATATTGCATATTTGTCAGTCGCCTCTCCGACGCCGGAATTTCTAGCATATTTCGCGCAGACCCGCCTCCCCTCCTGGACCTTCGGTTTCGTCGAGGGTGGCACCGCTCGATCACCGATAGAAAATAAACGATCCTCGTTATTGCGCGAATTTGAATCGATTTCGAGGGAAAGTGAGAAAGGAACCGAAGGGTTTGGGTATTTATCATGGAAAATGCGGCTGGTCGAACCCACATGCTATACATCCTGTATTACTGACTTAGAAATCTAAATACCGTGAAACGATGCTCACGATAATACACATCGACCCTTAACGAAACATTTGAAGAGAATTTCGCGAGTCGAGGCTGCAGTAGAATCGAAACGTCGATGCAAATTATCGCGAATACCCGACAAATATTTCCGACTCGTCGAACTTCACCCAGTTTCAGCCCTTTTTACTTCTTTCTATGGATTTTCCGCGTGCCGCTGCTCCCTCCCCCCGACTCTCTGTTTCCTTTCTTCCACCCCCCTCAGTCGCCTTATTTTCCACGATTGTTGCAGCTGAAAAGAGGAACTCGATGAAGGGGAACCAAGCTGGAAGAAGAGGGTTAACCACTCCTCGGTCTCCCACGAGAAATACCTCGTAATCTGCCGGTACAGATGCAGTTTCCTTCGTTTCGTTTTCTTTTTTCCAACCCCCTCTCCAACCCCCCTACGACGGGTTTCCCTGCGTCACTCTTTTTTCGCCTCCGAGCGTTCTACCATTTCCATTGTTCCCTGCTTTTCATCCGCTTTGGTTCGTTGACGAACAACTGGAAATCGAAACGGTGGGGGAGGATTGCCCGCGTTTATTACGAGATTGAACGAAAAGCGACTCTTCGACGCGTCATTTTTTCCCGCCCAAGTTTTCTTTCTGCCCTCCATTTTTTTAATTCGACTCCCGATTCGTAATCGAGCAAAAACGAAACTCGAATTTTCACCCGGAGTCGAAAGAACGTATTTACATTTGGTCAGCCATATCGCACGGACCGTATTGATTAAAAAAATATGACAACAAATTTTTTGTCAGAGGACCGAAGAGACGGGTATACGGTTTTGAAAAAAATTTTAGATACAGTTGCCAAAAGTATGTCCAGTCGATCCAAAAACATGGAAACGTTGGTACTTAATGGATCCAAATACACGTTCGTGTATGAACGTTTAAAAACAGAACGTAATAATATAATGGGTTGTTCGGAATTTCGTTTTTCTTCTCCGTGAAAAGTATCAATTATAATAAATGAATATTTTGTTAAATTATATACTGGCCATTACTGATGCAAGTGATTTTTGACATCGCCTTTATATTATATAAAGAATTTACGACGTGCCAGCGAGCAGAAGGGGTGGAAGGTGAAAAATAAGGAGAGAGACAACCTCGAAACGGTCGAAAGGGAACTTTTCGCGTAGTTGTTCGGTCACGTGCGCCGCGGGAGTAAAATAAAAACTGCACATCCGTTTCCCTGCATTCAGTGCACGGGGCACACGTTTTATAAGCGTCGTTTAAAACTTGTCTCGAGGGAGAGCTTTCCTACGCGGGTTCTGCTCGCGTTCGCGGAACCGACTGAACTTGAATTCGCTCGGGAAATTCATTATTGCAACGGGGAGCATTCCGCCAGGAGCAGTCGCCATTGCTTTTGGCGTTCGGCCGAGATCTCGACCAACTACATTATTTCTCACTCCTCCTTCGAATATCATTTTTTCGGAATTTCTGCGTTTTGATTAGACATTAGAAATACATTTGGGGGATGACGAGAGTAATTCTCGTGCTTGTCACGAAACGTGGAAAATGTAAGAAAATGGGAAGAATAAATCCCCCCCCCCCGTCAGCAAAAAAGGAGAATCAGTGAAATCCTGTCGGCAAATTTTACCGTCACAGGGAGGGTAATCGATAGTCTAATTAATTAACGCGATTCTTTGTCAGCTCGACAAAGGGGGTTGGAAATGGTTCGCGGGGCAGAGCCTTGGACCGCGGCGGGCGGGTCCTTTCATATTTATCGGCGGCAAGGTGCAGCGAATTAAAGCCGCAGAGTAAGGAATTCCGATCGCGTTCCGCGGTGCCTCTTCTCGCTGAGCGACGTCGAAATCCGATGCTTTATTTCCGAGCGATTTTATCCACGGCATTTCGAAGGCGCCTTGATATGGAAATTCGTTGCGTCGGAGCGATATTGGTGATCCTTTGAGACGCAAAGGCCCGTAAAATCGCTCCCATACGACTTCCACCGTGGCGTCTCGCGCAACAGCTAGTTCGAGCAACTTCCTACAAACGATGATCAACGTTGTCCAAATACCATCGAGACTAAGCGGGGCATAACTGAACCAATAATCACAAATTTTGTATTAATGTTAAACGTTAATGACACTCGCTGCTCTTACAGCGATTTCGATGAAAAATTGATGGAAATTTTTCGAATCGAAAGCCACGAGCGTCGAGAGTCCGATGACAAAAGTACAAACAGGATTCTCCGGGCCAAACGTTTCGTCGTCCTCGATGGAATCTCTCGTCTCAGGTCGAGTGAAATAAAAATACACGGAATGCCTGAGCTCGACCGTGAACAACGAAGGATCCTCCACGCGTTTCCTTACCGCGAACCGAGTTTTAACTTGGCGAAATTCTGCTTGTCTCGCCCCGTTCGAGAAGTTTGTGCAAAAGCGTGCACGAAGCATGCACATCGCGAAAGTATTCAGACGCTTCAGGAACTTTAAACAATAAAAACATGCACGTTAAAGTCGAGCTCTGCATTGAGATGCTCGTAGAAATTCTAAGTAATGCCTTTGGAACGATCATTGTCTACGTTTTATCCAGAAGGACAAGTTTTTTGAACCCTTAACTGTAATTTATTTTATTTCTACTTAATATTCCGTGCCATTAGCGACTTACGAGCGTAAATTTTGCTGCTTTACCGCGTTTGGCACGCGATGGGGCCAAAGTGTGGTGTCTCTGTTGAAGAAAACGTGTCACTTACTTTGCGTATGTCTTCTAAATTGTGTATTTCCGGCGAGAGTCCACCGTGAACGCAGAGGAACTGTTGGTTCATGAGGGCCGCGAGCGGCAGACAGTCGAAGGCGTCCATACACGCGTCGTACACCCTCTCCGAGTATTTTATTTTACCTGAAAGCAAGCGACAACAGTGTGAAAAGAAGGCTATCGGGCGGGAAACACGACTGCCTCCGTCCACCGACACACGCTGCGGAAAATAAACTTGATATTCTTTTTTTCATACGCAATTCTATCGCGGACACGCTCTTTGTATCGGCAAGAAACGAACGCGAGGAAAAAACATGTAACGACAACAACGAGGAGAAAAGTTGTCTACGGACTCTGTTTCTCGCTTTGTTCCGTTTATCGCGCTAGCCTTACGTACGTATTTACGGTACGAGCTACGAGTAAACACTACCTTGAATCGATCGTTTCCTCGACTGTGATGGGATTTAGGCTCGGGGCGCACGAGCCTCGAAACGACGTCCTTGTAATTGAAAACAACCAAACAGACATAGGAACGCATTGTTTACAATTGTAGGACATTCGTCGTCGCGTAGCAGCAGACTCTGATCCACGAAAGAAATTTTTATTTCCCATTCGAGGATAAAAATATTGCCGCGAACATCACGTCGTCCCCAGGAGTTCCAGTTGAGAGCAAAGGGTTAATAAACGACGAGTTTTTCTAGGACACCCTAATATTTCCAGAGAGAAGAAGTCAAGCGTCGTCCCAGATTCCCGGCCTGTAGCCTGACACTTTTTAATGACCATACGTAGACTCTTGTTACCGGGCGTACAAAAGCTCCGGAGAACGGCCGGTCCTTTCCAGGAGTCGGAAGGAACGATGGAGAGAGCGAATAAAGGGAAAAGGGGCTCCAGAGGGTAACGAACAAGGACCGCGGGTGTGCGTGAATCTCGTAAAAAGGAACGAAGAACGACGGAGACCGTTTCGAGGAGCGCGTGTCCACCGAGAATAATAAATCCTCCCATCGAGAAATTCTTTGCTTATTCGAGACGGGGAAATGTACAGTCCCGGTTTCGTGAAATATGGGAGTTTGAATCATGATCGTTGCCCCTTTGGGACTCGAGCATACTTATGTCTGATCGATAATAAAGACCAGGGGGAAATTTGTTCGAAATTGTGGTATTGCGGTATCTTTTATCCGAGCATCGATTCGAAATTTTTAATACTTGGGGGTAAAGGATGCCTCGAAATTCACGTAAGAAGTGATTTTGGTAGGAAACAGGTTTTTAACGAAGGTAAATAAAGTTCGTTGGTTCGTGGAGGAGTGTAGGGCGAAACGGTCGACGTTCTCGAATAGAGGGCGGACCCTCGAAAGACGCGGAAAGTCTTATATCCGGAAGACCGTCGAGTGGACAGTCGGAATGACGAAGTGCTGTTGCCGGCGGGAACGGGCCGTTCTCCTCTCTCGGACTTCCCCGACTGACGAACAAGAAGCATTCCCTGTCAATAAAACGAGGTCCGCGAGTTCTCCGGGACGGACAGCCTGAAGAAGATTTGTCGACGGTGAAAATGGACGGATCGCTGGTCGAACCTGTCACTCGAGGCCCCCATCGAGATCTCGCGAATGAACATCTCAGTCCGAGCGGGAAGTTTGCGCTACAGCTTTACCGCGAGAGAATTATTTTTCCTTTTCACTGTCCAATTTTTCACACGCTTGAAAATCGATGGAATTTCATTAGGTAAGCTTGGGCTGCGATTATAAAATGTTCTAAGAGATTTTGGAGACTAGGATGACAAAGGAGAAATTTCTTTTAACACTAAATCTATCGCGATGGATAAAATGATCGTTTTTAAAATTTCGTTTGGTGTTTCTAATATAGAATGTTATTTTAGAGACATCTAACTTCACGATTTTCCTCACAGTATACGTGTGTGCAAAGAATTTTTCAATATTCGCTTCTATTCTTATTGTTTGTTTGCTGAGAAACATATGTACTCTGTCTTGATCTATATATACGTCTGGTTAGCTTTCCAGTATAAAAGGAAATATATAGGGAGAGAATCTACAGTTTCCACTATCTTAGAACCGTCTACAGACGAACATTAAAAATAGTTAAACTTTACACGCGTGCAGTTCCGAAACTACTAGTGTTTTATTAATAATTGAGCAACTGTTAGAAGCGGCAAACCTTCCCCTTTAAGATGCTTTTTGGTTTTTGACGATCCGACTTTTCGTTTTCGAGATATCGTAATTTATGTAAAGGGGTAATTTTTTTAATTCGACTATCGCTGTCTTCGTCTGACGCGTCGCGCCGGACCTCTTTGTCTCGCACGTGACTCGTGACCGAGTGGCCGAGTGACCTAGTTCCCACGCGTCACGTGCCGGTCAACGACCTTGACAAGGCCGTAGTAAGAAAGTAAACAAACGCTTCGGACCCCCATTTTCTCCGTAACTAGCCACCGCATCGACTTTAAACTAAAATCGCTATATCTCCGGAACTAATTACGCTATCGACTTGTACGACCATTCATTTTAAAGGGCATTTCATCCTCTATCAGATGACTATACCAACTACTATAATTTTCTCTCTCTTCTATGTTTGTTTTGCAATTTAAAATTCGAAACACAACTTTCCATACATATAATAGAAAATTCAAGTAAGAATGGGAAACATTGACCTAATAACCCTACCTAAAATGGCCACTCGAGCATAGTTTGAACGTACCAAGCGTGTAAAGTTCAAGTTAGTAGAGAGTAAGTATATTCGAATTAAAAAGTAAATCGGAAGGAAGAATGTGATTCTATATTGGGACGTACGACATAAAAATGTCCCTTTATCGAGAGGATCTGGGAAGAGGCGAAGTTTCCGAAATACGAACGTGGAGTTTCAGGACCTTGGGGTCAGATACGAACAGGGTTAAAGGTCAGACCTCGCCCGTACTGCGTAGAACTCGACTATCCCGAGGGATATTGCCTCTCTCGCTGTCTACATCGAACTTGTCCCTCACCGAAATTCTGCCAGTAATATCTCGAATTTGTCAGCAAATATTTGAGCCATGTTAAACTACATCAACAGTTATGCTATCCGGTAAGACGTACTAATTAATTGGATCTCTACTCGAGCTTAATATTCCCTTTATTTTCCTTGCGCGGGTGCAGATCAATTTGGCGACATCATTTTTATTTGGTATTCGAAAATCGGGAAATTTTTTGTTTTCACCAAGACTGAACGTTTCGATGCACGTTAATTGACAACGAAGAGGAAACTAGTTGACTGTCTGCGTATTATAATTCGTCCTCTCTCGAGCGTGGAATCGGGCTAAGTGTAAACTCGATTGTAAATTGGTATAGCTGCGGGGATGCAATTAAAATCCTCTGCCCCTTTGATGTTCTCGGGATCCAGCGTTTCGCGAACTGCTGGGATTAACGATTGAAAACACCCTGACGTATAGAATTAGGCGCGAGGTTCAACGAATAATTAAAACACGCGTGTCGGGTCTCCGACCTACGCTGCGACTTTCGTCGAAATTCCGCGTCCCGTAATTTATGTTTGGCGCTGAATATTTTAGATGGTACAGGGAGGAAGATGAATCTGAAATTTATGTACTGGGCGTCGCACCGCAACTTGGCCGTCTCGAATATCTAATTTTCTACGGGATAAAACAACAGAGGGAAATTCTACTGTTTGGAAATGGGAATATTTCACGACTCGCAAAAGAAACAGAAAATTCTATTCACGTTCTGCTGGTGAATCTAACTCCTTGCTCGAGGCTATTAAATGGTTCCTCGATTACTATCGACTGGAAGTTGTTCGCCGTTCGCTAATCACGAATAAATAAATTTCAAGAACGCCGGAAATGCAAGTAAATTAACAATTATGCGAGAACCGAGCGGACATACACCGAGCAAGGCAATTGAGGTTAACCGTGTTCACGTTGACACACGAGTACGCACAGTTTTCCCCGTTTAATTTTCCTTTATCCAGGTCCAATCTGCAGTTCCGTTTTCCATTCTTTCGGGATTTGCATATCACTCGTGCTCGCCAGCCTCCTCCTCCGATACTCCTCGCCGATAAGGCTCGACGCTGAAAACGTGCCACTCGAAAAATCCTAACACGCGATTTTGAATTTCGAACTCTGCTCTTGGGGTACCGCGGATATCACGAACCATCCCACAAAATTATCAAACGCTGGGGTCTGCTAAATAAATATTTCTATTACATACGAACGGGTTATTCGAACTTGTGCAAACGAAATGAAAAGAATCTCGATTTTGTGGAACGCGAAACCGACGAAAAAATTCATAATTCTGGCGACAGAAGCTACACGCATGCTGGGTGTTGGAATATTTTTAGGGCTGACCGTGCTCGTGCCTGTTTATTTTTCAATTAATTCTGCGTCGTTTTGCGCCGGATGTTTTTGCGGTACGCGATAGTCGGCCTCCCCGTTCGCGGACGAACAATCGTTTTTGGCGACGAGGTCTGTTTCAAAACGACACGCTGACCCTCTGGCCGTTCGCCAGCGGCTTTTTGCTCGCGCCGTTGCGAAGTCCTACGAATAATGCGTGCCCGGAGCTTAACACGCCCGGGAAACGGAGCTGTCGCCTCGAATTCGAGCGAGGAATTGAAATTCCTGGACGCCGGGAATCAAGGAACCGACCAGCAACCGATAAATAACAAGAGCTTTGTGTTTTCACGGTGATGCGTACAAATTACTAAACGATAGGAGCCATTGAAAATATTTTATAATATGCGAATCACATGTTTCGAGTTCGAACTAGACTTCCTTCCTCATCCTTCGTTTCTTTTAAAAAATCCTTGAATCGGAATAAAAGAAAACTTGACCCGCAGGTTTCGAAGGCTCGTCGCTGAAAGCTGAGCGAAATATCGTTTTTCTTTTTATGCGCTGCATACCCGTCGCGTAAAAGACGTTACAACGCGCAATTAACGAAGCTCGAAGCGACTGTCTTTAATTATTACGCTCGTTTCCTGTGTCGCGCGGGCCATTCGCTCGAAAGCTACGAACAGCTTTGTTCCTGAATCGACACGGAATAACGAGATCGCGTAACGCGTTTGGAGAAATTGGACCGAGCCTGGTCGCAAGATTGTATGGACAAAAGGGCTCAATCTACGGTTTTTAAGCTTCTCGGAAATGGGATTTCATTGGTACGGGTTGCGTAATGGGATACGCGGGCGGAACTTCTTTCCCTGTGCTCGTGAGGCAATCGTGCAAATACGGGGGAGGAAAACTTTTATACCAGGGTCCCTTTTTATACGCTTTCCCAGCTGCTCTATGGCCGAAACAAATTCTACTGATCGTCCAAGGCCACTCCACCATCTCCCCCATAACGAAGTTAGGTTTACCTAACACCAATTTTGTCCTCGTCTAGCTTTTTACACACGCTTTTATCATTTAACACGTTCACTGTCTAACATTCTGCGAGTCCAACATTTGCTTCGGTACTTATTTTTACTCAGCTCGAGAAAATATCATCAAAGTGTTAATATCCGCAATATTCGTTTATTTAAAAATACGATGATCATATTTCTGTCTTTCTTGAAGTCGATAAACTTGGTCTAATGTTCTCTTTTTTTTTTTTACCGCTGGAAACAGTTCTGGAACTGTCATACTGTTTACAGCCTGGGGATGTTTCTTTCGTCCGCGACGTCGAATCGTTCGGTTTTTACAGTTTTCTTTGCCCGCGGGAACAAAACAATGTTGCAGGAAGGATGGGGTAACAAGCGCCATGTTGTTTTTCGCCAAAAACTGCTGGACGTTCCGTGTTTGCGGAAGCGTTGCAGCGGAGCAGCAAGTAATCTCCTCGCAACCTTGTTCGGCCAACAATTTTTCGCGAAAAACAACGGCTCCTAACTATTCTCCCTTCTTTCGTGAGAAAAAAAACTTAAAAAAACTCTACGTTGCTGCTGATAAACTCAAAAATAAAAAATCACGCGTCTGTTCCTAACTATACTACTTTCTTTTATAAGAGAACATTTTTTAAAATCTAAAAAAATTTTAATCTGTAATGTCCCCGGACGGTTTAATAAAAATCACCGTTGCATCGAGTTCGGGATTTTCGCGGGTATTATTTGTTCCTTTTCGTATCCAATCCACTTTCCCGTGTCACGAACCGATAAGAAATCTCGCCGTGAACGAGATCCATTCAAACACAAATTCCATCTCTGTCCCGAGATCGAGAGTCCGCGCGGAATCAGCGATATCTCGAGACTCTGCGTGGCGCAGTCGAGCCAGCCCGCGGAAAACCGTATCGATCCCGGAAAATTGTCCGATACTGGGTCAAGCTGCGTGTATTTACGAGGCTCGCGTTAACCCGACGTCGCTAGGTTTACGATTTTAACGTTGCCGGCGTTCCAACCACGTCCCGCGAGAGATGCTCCAACCCGGAAACGTACAGGTCTATTAGTTTTTGTTGTGGTTGTCGCGCGTGTTACAGCAGGTGGTTGAAATTTCTTCCCCTTCCGGTAAGGATGCCCTCTGTTCACAGAATTAACGACCATCTACCGTTCCTGGCGCGTTACCAATTCTTGTAAGCGCATTTCGAACACGCGCGGATGAATACATGTATGTATATCGGGTTTGTTCCTTTGGGATCTCTTTGGGTCTCATTTGGAAATCTTATATGTATAATACTTCTCTATAATACTTAGAGAAAAAAGAGTCTAGGGAACAAAGATGGAGGGAGAGGACGGCGAATAACTCGACAAATAAATTCCCAGACGGAATGAATCATGAAAATTGTTCTGTCCGCATCGAGAGAGAAGCCAACCGCGTACCGTTGCTAATTACGGACGCTTGTTGGGAATATTGTTCAACGAGGAAACTCGAGAGCCGAATTTACCGAATTTACGTTGCGTTATTACGGCTCGCGAACGAATTGTTTCGTCACCGACCAATGCGACAGTCGTGGACGTTAGGAACATTCGTTGGCTTCTTCGTCGATTAGGGGAACTCGCGAGAGTACTGTCAAACGACGACATTGATTAAAAGTTTGCGCAAACGTTCGTCGGTCCAACCACCATCAGTTCTTCCAGTTCGAAGACAAGCTTTCTACTTCGTCGTATTAGTATTATAGTTTCGTTCGTTGATTCTAAATTATTTATTTCTCTTCCCGGTGTCTTTTGTTTCTATATTAAACACCTCAAAGCTAAGAACAGAATTGATTTCAAAGGTTACAGAAGAACAAATCGATAGAAATCGTATGTAATAATAAACTCTTATTTCTTGCAAAGTCTGTCGTTTGGATAATAAATACCGCACGGTTTTTCTACGAAAAGACGGCGCTATAGAAAATTCCTTTTGTGAAAGAAAAATGATAAAAAGGAGATTTGCCCCCGAATGGAAGATCGTATCTGGAAGTGGAGAAAAGAACACCACGGAATTGTAATGAATGGACGGAAAACAAAGGGTTGCACGATACTCGACCTCCCAGCAAAAGGAAATACGCTCGCTAATAGAATATTGCATTTTTACCCAGTGGCGCGAAAAGCGACGGGCGTATATTGCCGGGCGAAATAATAGAAAATTAAAGGAAATGCTGAGCGCATTGTTTTCGAAACGAGAAACGAACGTTCGAATCGAATTTTCCGGCTGAAAATCGCCGGTACGCGCGATTGTAATTTTTTCGAAAATTTCGGCGCGAGCTCGCCAGGGGGGAAAATGGCGTCCTGAAAACACCGGGTCATCGAAAATCGATCGTGTTCATTGTTTGACATTTTCTCGAGGCTGCGGCGCGTTTCGAATTCGGGAAAATCGGTCGACGAACGATGGACGGGGGTTCTAAAATTGTTCGAAGATGGAAATCCTCGTTGGTCGTGGGAGTACTTACATTCTTGCTTAAATGTGAAGTATTCCGTGAGATGACGGCACTCGTGGTTACCTCTGAGGAGGAAGAGTGTGGTTGGATGGCACAGTTTCAGTGCCCACAGGTACAATACGCACTGCAACAGAAAAAGTAACGATTCTCCTTTATTTCGAACTCGACAGCCCCCACCCCTGTTGCTTTTATTCTATTCTATATTTGCAAAGAATTCGATTTACCTCGAATTAGAAAAAATTGAAACTTTTCGAATCGTGGTATCGCGTAACATTGTTCGAAATTACAGTTCGTTTGTCGGTATTTCCGTAAAACAGGATCGCTGCAACGATTCGACGAATTTGATTTTACAAATGTGCAAGAATTCGACAAATACTCGATTCGACAATTAAAATTCGCTTTTTGATGTTTGTAATTCATTTTACAGAATATAATTCGTCTCCACGAAGGGTACGATATCGATTCTTCGAAAGATGTCCGTGATGCAAACAAATAATTACACTTAATTGTTTCGAAAAAATACGGATTCTTTGTTAAATAGATATAAAACATATCGTACAAAGAACGGATTAAAAATTGAATCGTTGAATCAAGTTTTGTTTTCAACGTCTCCCCAATGTTTCTGAGGTTAAGTGGCCTAATCTGCACAGAAAGATTCTAATTTGTACCAACGAGCGTGCAATAAAAGAAGATTCGTTCGTTGAAGGTTACGAGAAAATTCATGGTCCGCGAAGTCGAAATTTTTACGACTTCAACCGGTTGCTTCGTTTTCCTGGGAAAATCCTTTTTGCAAACGCAACGCGTGTCGGTTCGAGCTTGAATTCAAACGCGTATATTACTGTTTCGTTGAAACATTATTTATCTTCCTGTCTCTTCGACTCTTTTCCCTCTTTCATTCTGTCGTTTACTCTCTCTCTCTCTCTCTCTCTCTCGCTAATAATTTATAACGTCTCATGTATTAAATTCACCGCGTCGGAACAGCCACGCTCGTGACTCGTATTACGATCTAAATGCGACGCGTCATACTCTCGCGATCCCGCTTAAAACGACACATTTTACTCTCCTCGGGATCTCTGCGGACGGATTTAAAACTCCAAACGTCGCTTCGCGTCCGAATTAACTTTTCGAGCCTATCGGAAATATCGTTTTAACGCGAACGAAATTTATTTGGGACGTTTCGAGCTGAAAAATGGTCATAAAATTGTATTATTATTTATTAATATTGTATTAATATCGCTTCTATCATCGTTTGTTACGTTCGTCGAGGTTTTAATTTTATAGGTCTTCGAAAGCAGTCGTTTTCGTAACCAGTTTCTCGAAAATTGAGCGTGAAATCGATCATCGGTTCGGTGACTCTGGTCGCCAAAAGTCGCCGTAGCTTTCCGACACGTTGAAAAGAAGCATTATTCGCTTTATTTCGAGCGTAATTAATTGTCGTGACCAGGCGGACGCGAGATTAACAGTACTGGCATACACCGGGGGAACAAAAGCGCCTACGCGAAACCGTCGTTTAGGTTTCAACGCGATCGGTGGGCGAGCAATTAATCTCTGGTCCTCGAGAAGCGTCGCTGAAGTTGACCCGTCGACGACAAAGGTGACCGTTTTGGCAGAGTAGCTTCCTCCCCCTCTCCATTCTTCGATCTCGAGACACTGTTGTCTATCTTTCGAAATTTTGGGCGCCCATACGCCATTGTTCGATAGTTATCTGCCATTGAAATTGAACATCTTCCGGTTGAAGTGGCCAGAACAAAATCTATCGCTGCTGAAACTCTTTCTCGAAGAACGTTTCCTATTTTCCAACGAGAGCAAACAGTTGACCAATAAAGACAGACTCAGCTGGCTCGTCTCGTTGGACAAAGTACAATTAATATTTGCGATTGTATCTCGACGGGATATAAATAAACGCAAATAATAATTTTTCTCGTGTTTTCATTGATCTCCAGCGTCGGTGGGAAGAGCAACGAACGTCCTCTGGCCTAATTAAGCGGCCCCAGCGACAGCTCGACGAGGTAATAATTTATTAACGAAAAAGCGCAGCCACGATGCACGCGTTGCGGCGGTAAACAATCGTTAAAACTTGGCTGCGTTCGCCGGAATCGATATCGAACGCGGCAGGAGGGGCAGGGGAGCCCATCTTTTATTCATTGCGTATACATTAACGGTTTGTTTCGAGCGCGAGGTATAATGCTCGCGTATCCTAGCCGGGGAACAATCGTATAAGTGGCTATGAATGCGCTGTACGTGCGAGAGCACGTGTCGCCGATGTTGTTCCGCGTACCAGACCCGATAATGAGTCATGTGAAAACTCGTTTTACGTTTTATCGTGCCCAGACGCCGCTGGATGATGCTCGAAATCACCGCGCCGTGACTCTCGTGGCTGGCGAAAACTTTCGAATCCGCGAAACTATCGCGACGCGTCCAAGACAATGACGTTGGTTGCATAATTCCCAAGTCGAGATAACGCGATTGCCACGGTCCCCGTGTCGGTCGAGTGCGATAGTTGTTCAGGAACTTTGATTAACCCGTGATCCCGGAATTTCTACAATAATTACGAATAGCAGACGTTCGCGTGGAATACGAGAGCGTCGTTCGACGTGCAGAGACAGACGACTGTCGAGGAAATGTTGTTTATTTAAAAGGTGAAGACGATTTTTATACCGATATCGTGGTCCAAAGGAGCGTGTGATTGTTCTCGACTACGTTACATTACGTATACGTTTCTTATCGAACGGGGTCTCGTAGAAAGCAAATTGGCCGCGACTTCCAGTCTCGTAAAATCCGATTATCCATGGAATTTGTTCAACTGCCAATAACCATGGAATTCGAGTTCTACAATTTGCTCCGGAGCGTAATTACCGACCACTCGATTCCCAAAGGAATCAATCCGAAGTTTCCACGATCTTTTCATTTTCCGTAGAATTCGATACCACTTTGCTTCCAACCATTATCCATAGAGCCGTCGCGGGAGAACTCAATTTCCACGATACTATTTGTGTCGTAGAAAACTTAATTACTATTCTTCTTCGACACTGGTCTCGCAAAGGAATCGTAGAAATCCAATTTCCAGCTACGAGAAAGTGTCTTTTAAGATTGTATTGATTTTTCAGCCGCAAGTACGAATATTGATTTTGTCACAGATTTTTTACACTTCTTTTTCAAAGTTCCATCATTTTATAATAAATAATTATTGTTAAAAATCCGTACGTGCCATCTAGTTGTAAGCTAGTGTCTTATTAGTTTAAGAAAATCGCAGGAGGCCCTCTCACCACGCAGATTTTTCATACTAAATGTTTACTTTAAGAATCATTGTTGCACGATCGCGGCCAGACTTATGGTTGCTCCGTCGACGGGGATCCACGGAACATGCTCGTTCTCGTTTTATTGGCCGCCACGTTTTGCGAACAACGCGGCGGTAAAACACAGAAATAAGAACAGCATTAATGCGCGTACAACGCCGGCTCCTTTGCTTCGTACACGCCTCGTACGACGCGCGTAATTAGGCGAGCCACGTGCCCTCGGAAAATCGAGGAAATACGTGACGCTGGGAATTTCATTCGCGCGGAAGAAACGATCCTAGGCGAAAATTTCCTCCCAAACGTCGCTCTAAGATTGTACCATAATAACGGGGCTCGTCTATTAAACGATGTTTTAATCAATAGCGTCGTATTCGGGTCCAAAAACACACGACGCGAACCCTTTCTTTCAAATAAAATAAAAAGAAATTCTATCAAAGCTGCCTTTCTTCGTGCGTCGGTCACAATTTAGGATTAATTTATGCGAAATAATGGCCGAGTTTCGCCATAATTAACAGTACCAACCGCGGGGATTAAGCACACGTTGGAGATTTGGTTAATAAACAGCCTCGCGGAAAGGGGTTCAGCTCGAACAATGGACACCGCGTAGACGCGCTGTTCTGGTTTGCAACAGAGGCCTAGGATAAGGAATTTCGGATGATTTTCGAGCATAACGGGCATAATGCCGCTTAACTGTGAGCCTGATTCATTGGCTTGGCAAACGGTCGTGCGGCGTGTCACTCATCCGGGCGACGACGTCGTGGGCGGCGGTTACTCATCGTGCCAGATTCCCCCCCACGACCGACCAACTATCGTTTCAATTAAAAATTCAGCCCCACCTGACACGGACAACTTGGTCGTTTCGTGTTAAGAACTTTGCTAGTAAAGTAACGTGTATTATTATCGATTGTTCATTTATCATATCAGGGAACAGAATTGTAGCATTAAAAGAGCATCGAACAATTCATAATAATATATGGTATACTTAAATATAAATTTTTTGCCCTTCGTGTTACGAAGAGATCACGAGGTCGAGAACATTTTGCTTTTCGTACGAGTAGTGGTTTCGACATTTTTGCCGACGATTATTGTTTAATCATTCTTTAGAGTCTATATTAAATTAATTCCACTATGTTAATCCATTCGGCTGTCCATGTTTCAGGGCTCCTCTCTGCGTCACGGTCGTTCGATTGGCCCTTTGTGGAGCCAACGGAGCGTTCCTCCCTTCCGCTCCGTCGTCCTATAATTACACGCGAACTTGTGCTCGGTATCGCAACGAAATCCCAGCCATTGTTTTCAGACTGCACGTTCCGTCCATTATTTTGCCTTTCGAGCACTGTTCGAATTCAGCCACGAAGAAAATTTCAATTCCTTACGTTTACATATTTCTGAAGTTACGTTCTACAAGCATCATGCTTGATCAACTTCGAAATATCGATAATGTTACGACGGATGCGAGGGAATATTAACACTAAACGACGCTTCACCGTATCTCTATTCCTACCATGTTTGAATTATATGCATAGAATATTGTAATAAACTTGAAATTTGCAAACTACGTCGAGATTTGTTGGTTTTCATTGGATAGGAATCCGATTCCCATAACGTTCTCCCAATCTTGCTCCCGCGAAGGAAAAATAAAATCGTTCCACCGCGTCCTGATAATCGCAGCGTCGTTTCCTCGAGATAATACACCGCGGCCGAGTACAGTAAAAAACGAACCGGAAACCATGTATTTTCTCGAGGGTTCGGGTTTCGTTCGGTAGCCGGAAATAACGCTTCCCCGAGCAAACGACGATAAACCCGCCGAAAGATTGACCCGCCGGGAACTTCGACCCCTCCAATTTATTATATTTTCGTGGTCCTTCCGCGTGTCATAACCGTTCTGCTGATTCGTTCTCCGCTTTCTGTTCGCCGTTCCCCTAAATCGTCCACTACGCGACTCATTCCGAACGATTTGTCCAACGAGCAACCGGTAATCGTTTGCATTAGAATCATAAGTAGAATAGTAAGCTCGTCAACTATCGAACGAATCGAACATCAAAGCGTTGAATCTTCGCTTCGTCTGGGGAAAACCTGAAGATCCGAGCGAGAACTGTTCGCGAGACGGAAGAGAAACGGAGAGCGCATTAATTGGGAATTAAACGGCGCGGGTCGCTAATTAGCGAGTCTGATAATTCACCGAGCACACACCTTTCTAACTAGTCTCCGTTGCTTCGAACATCTTCTCCGGATTAAAATTTCGAGCAACGAAGTGAACGTTTCGAGGTTTCGGATAGCCTCCAACTGAATTTAAATAAAGAAATCGTATCTTTCGTATCCTCCAGGCGTCGACTTTTGCAAAGTTCGAGGTTTAAAATTTATTATAATTTCGCATCCATAGGAAGGCAGTTTCCGCGAATTCCCGATTTTACAAAGTTCGCGTTCAGGCTTCGCGAATTTTGACCTGTCAAGTTGCACTTCCGCGCCGGTGTACTTATGCAAATTCCAATTTACGCTGTGTCGACGTTCCGCCAAGAGTACTGGAAAATAGTGTTACGTAATACTTGGAATTTACAGGTAGTTCCCCGGTTTGGGTACCGAGAATCGAAAGGAATTAATTCCTCGAGGCGAGAACTGCTCGTAAATAATTTTGTGTTAGACGAAAGGAAGGTGCAGGAGACGCCATGGAAGATTCTGTTTCGAGTAGTCGGAATCGCGAAAGAAACAGAAATTATTATCAATTATACAAAACATTGTCGAGATGGCCACGTTCGGAAGTAGATTTACAATGAAATATAATCGTAACAAAATTTGAATAGAATCGGTGTAAAAATGAAATTTCGAACTCACCTCGATACTGAAATAACCCCTGTCTACGTAATCGCCGAGGAAGAGATATTTTGTCGAGGAGGGCGGTCCGCCCACTTCGAATAACTTCATCAGGTCGTAGAATTGCCCGTGAATGTCACCGCATACTGAAACATAAAGGAGAACGTAACTCTTAGATTGATGTTCTCGTAACTCGAACCATCGTATCCCTTCTTTACGAGTGCTTGAAAATCTCTCGCGCTGGAGAAACCAAAAAGGTCAAAGGGACCTAAATTTTCTATTAAATAAAACGAACTAGACATTTTTCGGGGTTTGGTGTGTCTCTCGCAGAAACCTCGAGCTAAATTCTCGTCAAAGGGGGCACACTTTTGTCAAATTTGAGAAAGAAAGGACGTTGGGCGGGCGGATGAAAGAATATCTCGCGAGTCTCGTTTCATGGACGCTCGATCGCGATAATACCAAAGCGTCGTTGGAATCGTGAATAATTTCTATTCAACGTGGGGTCGAAGCGAACGATAATAAAGCCGAAGGCGCGAGAAATAACGATGCGCGAATCCATATAATCAAACCGGAGGGTGGAACGAGCCCCTTTGATCTCCGCCCCGTGTAATCCATTCACGGCTCAAGTTACGTTTTCATCGCGGTCCCGCGTCGCGAATAATCCACGCCATCGGGAATATCGCCCGGGAGAATTGCTCGGCTAAATGAATGCGTGGGAAGGTAAATAAAACCGAGCCAGGGACAACCTGCTAACTTCCTACGAGTTTCAGCCGGCAAAACTATCGGAAACACGAAACGTTTGCTGGCCGCTGGGAAACGCTTAACGCTTCCTAGATGACGGACAAACGAGTTACGCGGAACCGTACACTCGCGGCGAAAATTATACATCGAATCGACCCGTCATTAATTTCTCATCGATACCGTTTCGTAACTTTATATTCAAATTTTAATTCATTTCTCTCTGGTATTTTGAAAAATCAATCTGCAATCAGATCCTGACGAATATAAAAACATTCTCCATTACGGATCGCTGTAAATGAAATAAATAATTCCAAAGAAAATTTCCACGGATACCAGGTGGCCGATAATTAAATATCGTGCTATTCCGAGGGAATTCCTTCGTGGCTGTCGACACTGGCTCGAGCAGGAGATTGCACGTGAACGAGAGAGAGAGAGAAAAAAAAAAGTGAAATAAAATGCATACGGTGCCGGAGCGAAAAACAATAAGCGGGCAGATTCGACGCGAAAAAGGTAAACGTACAAGAGGGTAATTAAATAGAGGGTGTGCACACATAACGCGCCGATAGCTACGAACGATCAGGTATGAAAAGACGATAAAGGAAGGGGAAAATGTCCGTGACTGGTCCGGCCTATCATGCTGGCCGTGGAATGCAGATACATATATCGGATGCCGATGCGGCGTTAATTGGGCGCTGGGGGACTGTCATCGATATTTTACGCTTTTCCGACGCCGTTGCATCGTCGATCCGCTCTCTGGAAAACGACAGCCTTCGAAACCGAACGTTTCGCGCACAGACTCTGCCACTGTCAGAATTAGGAAACCGTAAATGGGCTGGAATCCCTAAAAATTTCTAACGCTCGATACTTGTTTCGACATATTTTCTCCCTCGAATCCCAACAATATCTTGGTCTTCTCATCCGTGACCCATGCTTCGAAGAAATAAATCGAACCGCAAGAGACGTATTTCTAAAGACGTATTCCGTCCAAGTGCTTCGTGTATGAAAAGAAGCTCCTCCGCTGTGTCTGCCGTTCCCCTTTTATTTCTCGTAAAAGTTTCGACACGCGTTTTCAAACGCTTACCAAACAATCTTTTCACGGTCGCTTAGCAAATTTTCTTATTTTTGCCATAAGAAACTAGCGGTTCCGTAGTCTGAGAAAAATTACTCGATTGAGAAACGCTACGGGTGGCTCCTAATTACAATTTTTCGACTCAACAGTTGTTTCGAGCAATAAAATTCAAGCTCGACCCTTTCGAGGGGATCCCCCATTCTGCGTCGTAAATATCCCCAGCTGGCAGAAACCGCGACACGTTCTGTTCAAATTCAGATAACACGAGGGCTAATAAATTTCCTAGGCAAGACTCGAATCCCGTTTTGCTTTCCGAGCCGTTTACAGCCGCGCATTATGTGCCTCGACAATTCTGTTTATGCCATCACGGCTTAAGTATCGCCGTCCATATCGGTCTCCACTCCCCCTCGATGCTCTGCATAATTCAGCAACACGTGGCAACTTTCGTTCCATGTGGATTCGAGGATTGAATTCCGTCCAAGGCTCGGTTTCCCTCCTTTCGAGATGTCTGACCAGGCGCGCGACCAGACTACTTACTCGCGGATCAGAAACACGTTTCAAGAGTCTCCACCTCGAAATTTCTCAACACCCTAAATTTTAAGGCTTCGTAAAACGTTGCAGCAAAGTCTGAGATCGAACGTATCGTACAATAGTCCGGGCGAAAAAATTTTAATAAACATCTGATTTAATTTTCTGGACCCACTGGTGGTTTCAAGTGATATTCGTCACGATAAATATCGAAGCTCGACGAATGTATCGACTTCGAGTTCTTATTAATTGTGGGATTAACTTTTCGACATTATCGGAAAATGATTCCGACGGAATTATACTCTTCCCTCGAATAAATACTATTTCAGGTAATACCCGTTATTAACCACGGCCGTCGATCGATAGGTCGGCTTTCCAGTTGGCCAGCTCTTGGGAAAATTGATAAATCGTTCCCTTTCTGCGCGAAAATCGAGCTCGCGAGAAAATTCTATCGCGCCGTAAGCTTTCCTCGAGCGAGCGTCAAAGCGAAATCGAATATCGTTCTGAAAAATCGAGCGAGAAAGGTTCAAAGGACGCGTGGGCGAGATTCCCATTTCGCTTCGGAATTCTTCACGAATACAGGAATTAATATCTTGGCGATTCCAAGAAATCGACAATTTTTATTTTTAATACCTTTGGAGCTACGAAAGTGTCTTCGAATCGGATGTTCTCGTCGAACGTGTCGCGCTTATCGAATCTCTGCAGACTGAGCGAGTCGTCCTTGGTAAAATTTCGCTTGTTCGTTTATTCTTGCCACAGTGTCTCTTTGAAGGAACGTCGGACGTAATTTGTAACGGAGACGAGGCTTCGAGAGTCGGGGTTAATTTGTAGACTGGGATTCTTTGAGACCCGGCACGTGACGTGACGTTGCTTTGTTGGTTTCGCCGGGAACAACGTTCGATCGTCGACTAGAGAGCGTGGCCAAGACGTTTCGGTTGATTAGCGGATCGATCGTTTTCCTCCTTTGTCGAGTTATCCCCCCACTCGAACGAATAATACAGTCTCGTCATAGTCGCGACCACGTCTCTGGAATACATTTTCCACGACCCTTCGTGATCCATGACTCTGACTTCTTACCTTTGACATAGCTTCTACTTAAACTCGAGTAATCTAAATTCGATTATTTTTGTGCTTCGATGAAATTTCTACTCTCGCGAAACACGCTGCTCGTTCCAAATTCAACGACAGCGGTCCCGGAATGCAAAATTCGATTTTATACCGTTTGTCTGCGCTCCGCGAATGCACGGGATTCCGAAAACCAATTAACAACCGTATGTTCGACGGAATATTAATTCTCGCTGAATCGGCTTACAAAAATTCGACGACGCGACCGAGCGTGAATCGTCGATCGCATTTCGCTGAAAGCTGCTACTTAGAGATCGATTAAACTAAGTATAATAATGCGGGATTCTCGATGAAATCCAACGACTACACGCTGGAGACCAAACATTTCAACGCCCGAGTAATTATAATCGTGAAATCGTGCTAATATTAACTCAACGTTGCACGAAATAATTCAAATTGCGGAACACTTTCTGGGTCTTGATTAATTTCATTTTACAGACGCGATAAAACGTTCATTGAATTTACTTCGTTTAAAAAACAACGAATTGCTTGTAGTAGCTTTAAATATATACCGAGAATTGGAGTAGAAACGAAAATACAGTGGAACTTTGTTACACGAACCACTGAAATAACGATGTCACGACTGCGGAGGTAAAACCATAATGATATTAATTTACGTTCCCTTGGAATTACGTTCGTACTAGCCATACGTAACGCGGACAAATTTCAGAAATATTAAAGCGAGACCTTTTAAAACAAACATCAATTTAAAAACTCATTAATGAAAAGACTTTCAACCGGGGCAAATATAAATTCCGGGCTGGCGTTACGGTTTCGAAATTACTGGGAAATAAATTTTATTTAATACCGGTGTTAAGGCCAGATTTATGGAATTAATGGGACCCAGCGTTGCGCCAGCGAAACCTAAAATTACGGCAAGATCGAAAAAATCTTCCAGCGAAGACGGATGGAGGCGTGCCCTTCGGAAGCGTCTCGGGGACAGTAATTAGAATCGATTTTGTAATTGGAATTAGTCGAGCGAACAGAAGCCACTCGTGCCTTTCAAGTGTCCGGGGGAACCTTACCAACAGAATTTTTTCCATTCCAGAAGCGATCGAATGTTCGGAGGCTCCGGGGTCGTTGGACTCGCTTTGAGAACCACGAACGTCTGAATATTTTTCATCCCCTGGTCGGGGCGCCGGTTAATTCGTACCAGAGTTCGTAAACTCGAACAATAAATCCGTTGAATCGGGCGACGAGCGAAGAAATTCTCGTCCGGGGAGAGAAAAGAGAGGCAGAATCGCAGGTTCCCGTACAAATGGACGCCGAACGGGGCACAAAGGGCGCGAGCAAAATGTGCATTCGCGGTCTGTTACGCGCGTGTGCGTGTAATTACTACGTTCTTGGTTCACGCAGCTCCCCTGGGATCGGCAGCACGCATAATTAACGCGACGCGGAACGCAAGCCTACGTGCGTATTCAGAATACTGCAGGATCGTTTGAAATATGCAGCGTGGACGGCCGGAACCCTGCTGCAATTAGTCAGCCTGTAATCTCATCTACGACTATGCTTCCAGACATTCGTGCGACGCACGGAAATTAGGAAATTTCCAAAATATAAAGAACACACGGTGTCGTAAATTTTGTGTAAGGAACTACAACTGTGTTAAGAAGCGCGAATAAATGGATAAGGTGCGCGGTTCCGTGTTATATGTATACAGGGTGTTTCAGAGGGAAGCAGGCG